ATGATCAAGAACTTTCTCACCCCAAAAATCCGAAAAGGTGTGACCCCATTCATAGCCTGGGTGCCAGAGGGCCGAGGATGTGTCGGCCCTCGGCCAACGCTGGAAATGCCCGTCACATGCGAGAACAACCTCTGGTACCCAGGATACCCCATTCAAATAACTCTATTGAAAATGCGACCCCATGGGGAAATGCCATTTGCTATTGTAACTCCAAAACTGTCCGGTTTGATCTATCCGATTACCAGGAGCTTGTAATCGGACAGGTCAAATCGGACAGTTAAAAACCAATGAAAATGAACTAGCAAATGGCATTAATCAATGAAAGTTAAGTACATAGCACATGATAACCAACCAAAATCAATGAAAATATATTGACCAGGTAAGCTGTCTAGCTTCAACTGTAAAAGAAAAATGGATAAAACTAACTGGTCCAGTGACTTTTATTCATATATTTTTTCTTTGGGCTTTGACAGCTTGTTAAATACAAAAAAACGTATTTTTTCTAAAGGTCATCATGCGGTCGGGCTTCCACATTCCACGTTCATGTTTTTGCTTTGGAAGTTTCTCTTACATTAATAAATATTCCAAGACTGAGATTCTCGCATTTTGTTATTGACACAATTAATTGTTGGTAATAGGCCTTCGTGTCGTACAATTCATGGGTTCTTGCCGGGCTCGTAATTTCAAATCGGCCTTGCGCTACGTATACGTGCTCGGCCGATTTGAAATTACAGGCCCGATTACTTCCTGAATTATATTGTACTTCACTCAGTCCTATTGCCATCACTAATTGTCGAAACAAACTTTAAGGCAACACCCCTACAGTTTGCCAAGAAGGTACGAATCAATTCTTTTTGTGGTTGTTTTAACTCCAAATCTGGAGTTAATTCAGCGAATAAAAATAACTGTGATTGCCAATGGAAATATTACCCTTTGATTAGAGTCATTGTAACTCTACCACAAAGGAAAAGATCTTCTTTTTGGAGTTAAAAATCTCCAAAAGAACATAATTAACTCTTCAGAGATGAAAAATAAAAAGAAGCCTGAGATATCGCATGTTTCCAGGAGATCCTCATCTCAACTGACGAGATTATGATTATGTATGATTTGTATGATATGGGACTATTTGCTTAAAAAGTCAGTTTAAGTAAAACTACAGCATTATTGATGCCTCAGTGCATTCCATGTGTATCCAATATACTGTGTATTTATACTGGAGACAATATTTCGTTTCATTGTTTAGTTTTGTTTGCTTGTACGACGGATAGCTTTTATATGACTCTGAAGTGTCAAGATCTTTGACTCTAAAGATGACTACCGCTCAGGTTGTCGAAACGTCAGTCACTGCCAACAACAACAGTCCTATTCAGGACACCCGGACGATCAAACTCAAGCTATTTTTGAAAGCTCTTATGAACAACATCAATGCAGAAAAGAGATAAAATAATCTTCAAACTCCTTTTCATTTCGCGTTTTGGAGTGCGCTCTTTTCAAAACCACAATGGTAATAACATTAACATGAAATATTGCAATGAAAACTTGCCAGATTTACTGATAGATGATATATATGTTTTATTTTTACCTAAACAGTTAATTAAGTAAAACTTCGACATTATTATTTTCTCTGCCCTGATTCCATGCGTATCCAGGTTTACTGAGAATAGTTATGCTCCGGATAAGATCTGATTTTGATCTTTTCTTTTTGTCGTGTTTGCTTGATTGTTTGTAGGATGGTTATTGGGGTCAGGCTCTTAAGATGTTCACTTATGAGTTATTACTACAGATCCACCACTACGAAAAGAAGAAATAGACAAACTTTAACAATTTTTGTAGGTGACGTATTGTGGGGAATCTAATTGCTGGCCCCAATTCCCTGTGACACTGAAGACTCGCGTTGTAGAAATAAACGTATTTAATGCCTACAAAATCCTAGAATATGTAACAATCAACCGAAAAGATCTCCGCTACTACGTACGTACGTGCTCCAGAAAACCTATCTACTTATCACATGATTCGAAATTCGATGGTTAAATCACTTAGCAACATGAAAAATAAAAGTAGCGACTTCTTAAGCTGTAAAACAACACGTCACGCAGTCAAAACATTTCTTACAATATTTCAGTGCATTCTTCATGAAAACTTACAATAATATAAACATGAGTATTAGCCTGGATAAAATATAACGATGCATTTTGCAAGTTCCGGTTGGGTTCGAAACACAATTAAAAGCGCTTCCAACTTTCGATCGACCAGTCGTAACCGATAGGGGAAGTAATATTACTTTTCATATTTACATTTTACACTGATATACTCAGGCAACAAGGGTCTCTATCTTCACTAGCACCTTTAAAACTCATCTTACAGAGATTATCTTTTTAATTGGAAATATGAAGTTGTTTCCTGTGCTCGTCTTTCTCGTTGTCGCAGACTTGAGTGGTGAGTAACCCTTCTGCTAGTTATATTTCATTCATGTTGAGGCATAAGCAACATATTGAACCATTTTTTCGTTTAATATAAAATGAATCAAGTATCTCTAACAGAAGAGTAAACTACCTTATTATAAGAAATTAACGCTCCATGAAATTAAGGTATTGGAAATTAACGCGACTTAAATTAACGCGAATTTAATGGAAAACGACTTTCGAATAAAGAAAATTAACGCGAAAGAGGAGGTAGAATTTCATAATAAAGGAAATTAACGCGATTAATTACGCGAAATCAAAAGAGAAGATATTGACATCACTTCTGAAAGCGACAACGATGAAGATAAACTCGAAATATTGTAAACCTTCGCCCTAGCTTTTCAGGGCCACCCAACGACCGTTTTCTGGGAAATGATCTGAAATGGCTCGTTATGCATCCTGGAGTGCTTTAAATGCAATATAAAAGAATAATTCGCATCGCTAAAATAATTTGATCTGTTCGGTCGTCCTAGGAGTGGTTTGAACCTCTCGAATTTTTTAGGGCTGTTTTTCGCCTTTCCCGAAAATAACAGCCTACAGTGAAAGCTTTCCGAAAACGTAAGATTACCTGACGAGCTTTTCCCTTAGCCGAAATTTTTAGGGGTCCTTTTAAATTTTTTCCGAAAACTCTTCCTCTTGTGGGAATGTCTTCGAATTTTCTAGGGCAACATAGAATGTATAGAAAATTCTAGGTGTAATAATACGAATAATTGTAATAAAAAAATGAGAAGAACAAAAATAAGAACAAAGAAAAGGCATTTAAGTGATTTTAAAGCCAGTTTCAAACGTCTTGTACCCTGCCGAACTCAATTCGCACGGCACTTACTGAAAAATCTGAAATACGGCATGGCACTGACTGATTAGCCGGTTTTTTTGCTATTCTTAGTTTACGAAAGCTACGAAATTTCTAGGTGCCGAAACCAGAATCAAGAGATTACTACAAAATCCGAAATTCTTAGGTGAACAAACCACACAAATCCCGAAACTCTGAGCCCAACAAACAGTCACCACGAAACATTTTCGAAGTTTTCAGCTGTTCTTGGGCTCTCGAAAATTTTAGCCATTCTAGAGGGCTCCGAACAGATATTTCCCAGAAAACGGTCGTTGGGTGCCCCTGGCTTTTGTGAAAGATGAAAAATAAAGGGTAAATGGAAAGAAAGAAAGCTTGTAGTTAATGTTTTTTAGGTGTCAAGAATGTCTGGACACGTTCCAAAATTGGGGTTAAGATACTGGAAATCAAGAGCGCGGAAATTAACGCTGCACTTAATTAGCATCGTGGAAATTAACGCTCAACAAAATTAACGCGACTTAAATTAACGCGAATTTTAACGATTCGCGTTAATTTCATGGAGCGTTAATTTCCTATAATAAGATAGCTTGAAATGCAATATGTAGCTGATCCGGGCGATTTCAGAAACCTGGCTAAAAACATTCAGATCAGTAACCTTCAAAGTCCACTGTTTATCGCCTGGCTGCATGCAAAGGAACAGTATTTCTTACACTTTGTATATTTTCTACAGAAGCTGCGATTTCGACATTTCCATTTCCTTTTCCTTTTTTTTTCGTACTACGAGTTCTTTGCATATGCTTGTCATTTCGTACGAGAATTAACGTGACCACGCTATGCCGCTAACTAGAAGGCTGAACTCAAAATACATGCTTACAAATTTTGGGAGAGAATATGTAAGATAAGATCACTTCAATCGTGGAACTCAAGTTACTGTCTTGCTAAATATCACGGATGAGAAATAATTTTAGCGCGAAATTTCAGCTTTTATACTACTACATGAAAAATTACCGCAATTTGATTGGCTTAGAGCAGTGGTATTTCAGCTTAATTTGAAATACCTACATGTGAAGATTACAAACAAATAATAGCATGATTTGTTCGTGATATTTGACATAAATACCACTAGTGATATTTCAAAATTGTCTCAAATTTCCCTCGCCTAACGGCTCGTGAAATTACGTATAACAATTTCGAAATATCACTCGTGGTAAATATGCCCAATTTCACTACAAATCATACTATTACCTATACTAATTTATAATTTTACACGTGAAATTACAAAATTGCTATCTCAACGTTCCGTATATGTCTCAGTGCGAAGATGGCGTCAAGGTTTTAAAATGTTATGAATGAATATGTCAGGGCATTAAAAGACTCTTTAGAAAACCTAAACACACGCAAGATCACACCAAGAAGGATTCTAAAAAAAGCGTAATAATTGTCTCCGATGAAATTTAAGCTTATAGGTAAAAGTCTCGGGGGGGGGCTGGTCTCGGGAAATTATTATAATTTGGACTGAATTAGGTTCTTGAAATTGCTCCCTAATTTCACTCGTCACCATTTGATTACTCATACCAATTTTACTTACTCATTTGGATATCTGGGACATGTTTTCGGAGAATGGCGGTGAAAGGATGACCTTATTGCAATTCCAACTCAAGACAGTTAAAGCTTTACCAATTCTTCTAGTGTCTCTAAGTATTGAAAATAGCTTTAAGTCAGTTACTGTTGAATTTGCTAAAACAGGGGCTGTACCAACACAGTGTCTTTCTTGCGGGCCTGGATTTGATGCAGCTAATTGCGTGATCCGTTTTCAAGAAGAAGACCAAACTTGCGCAAACAGTGAAGAATCCCTTGGTACAACTCACTGTGGTACCGCGGCAATAAAATTTGTAGGCTATGGAACTAACGTCACCTGGACTGGCATATTCCGAGGATGTTTTGATTGCTCCGGTAAGTTTTGCCTGATAGTACTCCTAATGTAACAAATGAACATTAACTGCAAAGGACCGCAAATTAACGCGAATACGCCGCAGAATGTAGGATCGATAAAAGAAGACCTGATCAGAAAAAAATATTAATGCCAAGAGGCCAAACTGAAATCTGCAATACTCCTAATACCTTTCAAAATTTGGTTGTTGCTCAGAATTTGGTTGTTACCAGCTACGACTGAACGGGCCGCCGGAAATGGTACCAATCGTTTACAAACGGCTCTGTGAACGCTGAAACCTATATAGGTAAAAACAGTTGTCAGTCTGAACTATTTACAGGGGCGGATCCAGGATTTTTTTAGGAGGGGTGCACTCGTCTCTTGCTCTACTTCAACACCAATAAACCCCATAGTTTTTTTTTTTAGCAGAATACCAGTTGTATTAGAAAACCGCAGATCATCTCAGGGAGGCGGGGGGTGAGCACCCCCTGCACCCTCCTCCTAGATCCGCCCCTGATTTAGATCTTGCCTCTGCTACCTGAGTGCCTCACACCACTTTTGCGCCATTTTTCAACACTCCCTTAACATCGTCTGATCAGTCCTATAACGCCTTTGTCAGTTGACGATTGACAAAATAAGGAATTGACGTTACAAGTTACGAAAACCGCGAGTTGATAACCTGAACCTGCATGCTAAAAACAGCCTAATTCTTAGCTTTTTTAGCACTTTTTTTTTTTTGCTTACAGGAGAGAGCGCGCGGTGGACTGGATCCATTTTTATGGTTGTTTTTACCTCTATACTCCTATTTTTTCAAAGGCAAAATTTCTCAAAATCCTGGGTTTTAAAAAATCGGAAATATGTCAACGGAAACATAACGAAAACAAGAAAGAACAGAAATGTAACAACTGAAATGGGAACATGATGGAAACGTTCCCGTACATAGAAAAGTAGCTAGATAGCCATGTTTCCGCAGGACGGAAACGTGACGGATATAAGCAACTCTATGTTTCCGTCGAGTTTACAAAATACGGAAACAAGTCATTTCGTCTTATATATGTTGCAATTTCTATATCATACAATCAACTATTCACCAAGTTTAAAGAGGCTATGTCACGCTAGTTGCTGCCTTCTTCAAAAGCTGCAATTTTTTCCGCATGAATTGAATTGAATTCCAAGAATAATGGTCCAGACCAGGCTTGTTCCCAGTCGTCCTCGGTGATTTCGGATGTGACGTCACCTGTTCCGAGCTTCGTCTGGTAACTCGGATAGCGCGAACTGACCTGTGTACGAGGCTGGGTCCAGACTATATTTAGAGATTGAATCAAAACTGTTGCCCGCCTTCTGTTGCAACAGATGGTAAGGATGGAAATGGATTGATACTCAAAAAAGATGGGCCAACTTCTTCAAGTTTTAATGCCATGCTTGCAAAAATCACAAAAAAGTACTATGGTTAGTGCTCCCTCATGAAATGTGTTTCATATCTTCTTCATAACTCGATCTACAGGGGAATTTTGTGAACGGGTTATAAAAAGGCACAAAGTAATGACTTCAGCCCAGAATTGACCTAGAACTGCAGCAATATCCTCGTGACATAGTCCCTTTAAAGAAACATTCAATGAAGCACCTCCAGGACCGCTTTAACTTTTTAGAAAATTACAGTGGTGTTTCTAAATCAGTTCCCATTGAGTTGGATTTCTTAACTCTGTGAAAAGTTAACTCAGCTGGCCACAGTGGAAAGCTGCTTATATTATTCATTATTTCTATTTAAGAAGTAAGTTCTATTGATTTATCATTGGTCTATTTGTTCTAAACCAAAACTTCTCCCCGTTACAGATAAGACGGCGGCGTGTTTTGCCATTGGAGGCTTTTTAAGACCACGAGGTCTCACCGTGCTGCAATGTGAGATTGAATGCTGCTCCTCAAGCAAATGCAACACTCAATTCCCGTCTTTGTCGCTAAATGCAGTAACTGTGTTTTCCCCTAACGGTAATAAACTTTTTATTTTTAAATGTTCCCTATAGAATTGACGATGTGCTCGAAACTGGACTGAAGGTCATTATTAATAATGGCTTCATCAGCCGGATTCTACTACATATATCTTTGTGGATTATAACTATTAATGCCGAGTCTCCAACAAAAAGTAGTAGCTGATGAGGGCTTCAGAATTAACCTTGTGCGGTGTCAGTGAATTTCTTTATTCATGGAATAAGAAATGAGCAAATGGTAGTAAAATAATTCCATTCGCCATTTGCACTGATCTCCTATAACAAACCTAGTTTGCCCCCCATACTTTTGAATGACTTTGGTTGTTTATTTCTTCTGGGTATTACAGTCATCCCAAGAGAAATTGAGGACAATGCTTATGAATTTTTTTGGGGGGAGTGGGGGCGGAGAGGGGGGAGAAGGGGGGAAAGGCAATCAAGGTGTATTATGGGAGATTGGCAAATGGCACATTTTAGCACTTTTTTGTCCCTTTAAGGACCTAGGGATCTTAGACCAACTCATTCTGTTAGTTCTATTGTTAAACCGTCGCCCTGCTAGCGGATCCTTTCTTTCACTTGTTCAGTTTTGGCGTACTCGAGAAAGACTTTGTTTGAATCGAGTAAGACCTTTGTTGGGAATATGCTGCATGCGCTGCTTGTTGCTGGAATACATTTTCGACCCCAGGCCTGATAGCCGTGCGCCTGGTACAGCGGACCCAGTTATGACCTTTGGTTATCAATAAAAGGATGCTCGCAATTGAAAAAAACAGTTTGACTAGATAAAACAAGATTGACCAGTTTAGAAGTTTTGGCTGCGACGACTTCAAAGACTTGACGCGATTCAGGTATGCCCAGGCAGGTTGGCGCAGAGTGTAACACACAAATACTCCAAAAGTTAAGTCACTCTTTGCAAGAAAAAATTCAATGAATTCTCTTTAAATCAGTTCCTTAACGCGTTGCAAAGAAACGAAAATATCTCTTCCAAAACCTGACCGCAGCCTATTCTACGAACCTCTTCTTCTAGACATGTAAAAATTCAGCCTTGAGAGACACCAACTCACCTCTTTCACTTGTATCTTTTTTTTTCTATTGTAAGTCATGTGATGTTCTTACGGGAATTTCTTTTTTGTCTTTATGCGTAGAAATTAAAACAGGCCAGGAATGCTACACAGCCGTTTTTAGTGTCGTCACGCAACGCTCCTCCCCAGTTCCTCCCCGGGGAGGAGCGTTCGCGTGACGACACTAAAAACGGCTGTGTAGCAGACTAGGAAAACAACAACAACAACAAAATAGTTTCATAGAAAATCAGTATTTTTTAGAGTAACGTGGCATGACCTTTATGGGGACAACGGAAAACGCAAGCTAAAATGGTCTATTTGGATCGTGCGTTAAAAAGAATAATGTTACGCATTGACAATGTACAATGGAGGTTCACAATGCTGACTTTTTACAATCTTTGGGCAAGAATTTCTTACCGTGGGATCAGATAGACTATGAAGGTTCAGAGAATGGTTAAAAATAATAGCATTACTGGAGTGAATTAGTCCTTTCAATTGTTTCAGGGTTGTTAGTACATTCAAAATTCGACTCAAACAGCAAAAATGCCTCAACCAGGCCGCTCATGGTGCTCATAGATATTGATTACTTGGCATGTGACGAAATAAAAAAAAATGACTAACTAACTAAATCAATCAATCAATCAATCAATAAATCTACAATACTGACCATGTGATAAGGCAAGATCTTTAATATATGATTCCTTTTCTCTGTGACAGTTTCCGGTGGTACAAAACAATGTCAGGGTTGTCTCGGAGGTAGCCCCTATCAGTGCAGTTATCTTAAAAGACCCCAGATATGTGCAACAGATTTTAATTCGTTAGGAACAACTCACTGTGGGTCAGCTATAATTAAATATCGCGAGCAGCGTAGTGGCAGGATATCTCAAAGCGTCTTACGAGGATGCATTAACTGTGCAGGTTGGTGGAATTTTTTTTTAAAATCAATTTCATCAGAATATTTGACACGCCATAGATTTAAGAAAAAGGCCCTAAGAATACATCTTTACTTATCTCAGCAAAAACCCTAGGCGGAAAAGCACAACCTCTTAGCTAAAAATTAAATATTAATTAATGCTTTTTAAAATTATCCCTTTTGTAACTTTAATTAACAGACCCGACCTTAACTAATTTAAAACACAGTTCAGGTTAGTCTCCAGAGAAAGTAAGGAAGTGGGAATGGGGGTGTGGGGGCGTGGGTGTGTGAATTTTCTTTTGCTTCTCAGAGTTAAATTGTTAATGTAGGGTCTCATTTAGCCGGGTGGCATACTTGTCGCATACTTGGTCAATCGTAGTGCCTAGGGCGGTTGTTAGGCATGCAATAAGTAATTTCTGGGTTGCCCCAAGCCTCTGTCTCAAAGCGAGGCTAAGTGTGACTCCATTGATATGAAAATGATTTCTTATTCTCATGCAAAAAACTCATTTTCACAAGAAAGGTTTTACACTTAGCCTCGTTTCGAAACCCGGAGTTTTTGGAACTAGAAAATGACTTATTAAGTAAGCTTTCCGGCAACTGCATGTATTAATTTAATTCCGTGATGATTCTTACAGATAAAAAAATAGCTTGTGCAGCAATTCGCGGCGGTATTAAAACACAGTTGGGAACTTTGCTGGAATGTGAAATTGAGTGTTGCACTGGTGACAATTGCAATGAAGGTAATAATATGAAAATAAATTCATTTGTTATATACCCCACTTGCACATCTGCCACAACGCACCTTTTTTGTTCCCTCAATGGTTACTTCGAGGTCAAATGAACAATGAACCTGCTTCCCTCCAAAATCTCTGAGTGGGCAATGTTGCAAAACTGCTGTAAATGCACTGAATAAACTACTAAAACAAAACTTGTTTTCGACTTTTTCACGGCCATAAAGACATTTGGGCTTTTTACGGACTGAAATGACAGATTGTCCTACCCTTTCATATTTCTGAAGCCTGAAAAAGGTACTTGTTTCGAGCGAGGCCTCCCCGTATAGGCCATTATAGGTAGTATCTCTCTCTAGGGATGAAGTCAGTGGTGATCGGACATGAAAAGGTTGTTGAATCTATACTCAGACGTGTAAAGGGGTATATATGGGGTCAGGTATGCCGCAAATAATTCAGAGACTGGCACCCCATCCAAAAGAGAGTAGTGACAAGTTTTTATTCTAGGAGTGACTGAACGGTCTAATTTAATGCGAAGTCACCTTTGTTTCTAAAGTCCCTCTCAACGATTTTCTGATAATTATAAAAAGTCAAACTCGTTAAAAATTCATGATAAGGCGCGCCAGGAGTCTGCACCGAGAAGAAAGTTCGATCATAAAAAGTTCCCAGATTTTGAAGCGATGGCTTTAACTTAACTTAAGTTATTAATCAGTCTAAGTTGAAATTATTTTTTCAACTTGCTTCTGTGTGTCGGAAGTCTAGTATATCAGATGAAACACTCCTTCTAGAGTTTAATATAAACCTTACCTGATTGTTTTACACAGATACGATAGATACTGGTCCAGGACAGTGTATCAAGTGTGCTAATAGCCAGTTTGGTCCATTGAGAACATGTGGCTCTTCAGTGCAATGGAACCAAATCTGTTTAATTGATCCCAGTTCATTAGGTGCATCTCATTGTGGTTCGGCGGCAATAAAATACCTTGACTTTTCCGATGAGACCATCAAGACCGATGTAATTCGTGGATGTTTTAACTGCTCGGGTAGATAACATTTATTGTATTGCTTTAACAGTGACTTCTAACTTTTAATATTTTATATTTTATTTGCCACCAGGGAGGTCAGTAAGACAAGAAACTGTAGGTCTTGAATAAATTGTGCTTTAATATTTTTTTTTCCCGTATATATGTATCACTGATGAATGGCACGCTTGGTTTTGTTTATTTCTAGTTTTTACCTCAGTGGCACGTAACAATGTACCAAACGAAAAAGACGAAAAACCCGAATTCATTTGCTGACTAACTGATTAATTAAGGAGGGCGTCATTGGCCTTGGCGGATAACACCCTCCCGGTTTTGAAACATTTTGCATATCATACTCACCCTCATTGAACAGTTGTTAAATATATTGAATAATAGAGAGCCAAAACGACTGCTTAGAACACCAAGATCACAGAGTATGTATATGTACACTCAATTTCAGTTACCTTTGATCCGGCTGTATTCTTTGATTTTATAGGCACTACGATGTTCACGGTCTGAACCCTCTTTTCTTCATTTTAGATAAAAAAGCAGCTTGCCTTACTCTTGGTGGTTACCTAAAAACTTTCCGTGTAACATTGCTTGAGTGCGAGATTGAGTGTTGTGATAGCAGTAACTGTAACACGCAGAAGTTAAGTTTGACACAGGACGCAGTGAGAGTGTTCCCACCAGGTAACAAATATTAATTTATGATAATTCAGTCTTACCTGCGTGCAATAAAATACCATACTAACTGTTTCAAAAGGTGCAGGGGAACTTAAAAAACCGAGGTACAGTCGATTGTCTTCAACTTGATATAAAAAAAGTTTAACTGCGAGTGAACGGTCCTGCTCATTGTCATACTATTTCCTAGGTTTCGCAAAAGTGAAGGATCAAGGGGCAAGTACAATGTTCTGTTCTTTATTCCCGAAAGTTTCATCTGCTGCTATTTTCATGAAAAACGTCTTTTTTTTTCTTTTCGATATAAAATTTTTCCACACTTTTCCTCCTCCTAGAAGGCGCGGAACAGTTATCATTGATTATTCCATAACGCTTATTGACTTTTGTGATATCCGGGATTCTCGATCGACTCACCTTTCTGTAGAAGTTCCCCGAAGGGGCCCATTTCTCGAAAGTCTCGACAATTGACAGGCCTTGAAAGCTGTTGTTGTTCACATTCATGATCGAAGTTTCCACAGTTTTGCAGATGATGATGATGATGATGATAACAATAATAATCTCTGTTCAATCGATAAAATACACATAGAAAGTTACAAACGTCAAAACAGTTAAAGTTAAATTAAAAATTGCAATTGAAGTAGAATAATACGGCTAAGTTATAATTAAAGCATAGCCTATTTACAAAGCAGTTCTTAAAGCGCTCAGTGTTAACTAAAGGTAGCTGAGATATGTTTCTTCGAAGCCTTTGAGAAGAGTCCTTTACAGTCGCTAAAATAGAACATAGCGGATGGTGTTCGTCCTTGCTAGTTTTATCATAAGGCTTTCTGTCAGATTGATCATAAATACTTAGTTTATCCGCAATGTAGCGTCTTTTGTGACATCTCTTTAGAAAGCAATCCATAAAAACAAGGTCAGCCTTGCTAACACCATAAATCGAGAGTCGATTTAAATAGAAGGTCAACATCTTTCTGTCCATAGCCCTCTTTCTTGATAAAACTCTGCCATGATCCCCAAAACAAAATAAACTGGTTTGTTAGATAGGACCTGCACTTTTTACTGGCTTCAGATTTTTGCCATCCCGGAATTTTTTTTCTCTAAACTATTGAAGAGGCTTAGACTTTCACGAACATTTCATCAAGCGGAAATTTCAAGAGACATAGAAATTTGATGAAGGAAAAGGGAAATGTCTTGTAAGAGCCACTGAGAGGGATATGTCATTTTGGAGTATGGAGATGAATGCTAACCACATTTCATTTCGCTTCATGGCACGCTACGCGACGGGACCTGGGAACTGATAACAAACTGCGAAACAAAAGAGATCTCAGGACAGAAGTAAGGGGTTTTCCTGTGCCCCTATCTAATAATAGATAGGTCACAGAAAGACTCTTTGTGCCGTATATGCCCACAAAAAGATGAGACAGTAGGACTATTTATACGAGGAACAATAAGACGCATCTTTCATTAGATACGTCCTAATAAGACGCAAACTATCTCGCATAAACGGCACCTTAAGACGCGACTTAGCTAAGACGCGTCTTAACGAAGAACACCGTGTTAGGAGCTGTTCTTAGATAAGACACGTCTTAGCTAAATTTCAATCGAAATGTGCCGCTTATACGGGATAATTTGCCTCTTATTTAGGACACTTCTTGTATGAGACGTGTGTTATTTTTCCTCGTTTTATATAAACGGCCCTAATAAGTCACTTTTATCCGAGTGCCCATGCAAAGTTGGCACAGAAAAAATATAAACAGAGACGCGCTAGGGCCTTACATTGGGCCAAACATTATGTATTTGAAAGGAGGTAGCCTGCGTACCAGGCGCTTGGAAGTAGTGGGCACAAGAAAAAACGGGCGCACGAGAAGGAGACACGCGAGGGGAGAGGGCTGCCAGGTAATTAGGTTGGGGACGGGAAACGATTTTCGTCGGCCTTCCGGGCAGGCGCTCCCTCACCCCTCGCGTGTCTCCCTTGCGCGAGCCCGTTCTCTCTTTCGCCCATTACTTTTAAAAGGAGTGACAAGTGGCAAAAAGAATGTTGAGGATAATGAGAATTTTAAATTACTTTGGGATTTCTCGATACAAATTGACAAGAAACTGGATCACAACCGCCCTGACATCGTGCTTGTAGACAAACAGAACAAGAATTTCCTCATGTATCATAAATACTGTATGCCCTAGCGACAGAAGGGTGGACATCAAACATGAAGAAAAGATCGACAAGTATGTTGATCTAGCTGTTGAGATTAAAGAGTTGGGGAAGATGAAGAGTGCAAAAGTTGTCCCCGTTGTTATTGGAGAACTGGGTACTATTCCGAAGAGACTGAAGGTCTACCTGAGAAACATAAATGTTGGAATAGACTTGGTGCACTTCAAAGAACAGTCTTGCTGGGATCAACAAGGATCCTCGGAAGAGTCCTTAAAGCTTGAGGCAGCTTTTTGCGACCTGATATATATATATATATATATATATATATATATGATGGTACTGAAATTTCCGGCATTGACATACCTGCCGTGAAGCATGTACCATAATAATAAAAATAATAATAGTTGTTGGTAATAATAATAATAATAGCGGAGCTCCACCCGCGCGCGAAGCGCGCGTGTGGACGGAGCTCCATAGCTAAGGAAATGTGGTAATCTACCCATCCGAGAAAATTTGGTAATCACGTGACCGTACGCCCGACCGTCCGTCCGCACCACAGGAAAAACCAATGTTTTCTCTCACACTTTCTAGCTAGTTTGGGAGCCCAGTAGAAAACTAATTGCACGTCAATGTTGTGATCAATTGACAGCTGTCAAAACAGGATATCCGCTGACCAGTGTCACCTGACCGTACCGCGGGCTCAAGTGTCGACCCATCGAGGTCGAGTATTTTTTGAAGTTATCCGCTGACAAATTACCAGTTTCAAATGATCGCAGGCTCAAGTCTATTTTTCCAATGATTCATATGAAATATGTTGTGTTTATGTCACTATGTCCCCGCACTGTCAAAATTTTGATTTCAAACTGACCTCGGACGCGAAAATTCAGCCACTTTTTTAAAAATAAAGGCGGGGAAGATCTTTTCTTACCATGGTCACGCGTTGGTCACGCTCTACGTCCAATTTTTGTACTCTGATTGGCCAAAATTTGACAGGTGAGTTCATGCGGAAAATTTATGCAGCATCTTGAAAGTTGTTTACTTTGACAGGTAAAGCTGACAGAGTTTTGTGTCAACTTGTGATGTTTTTAACTGTCTTTTTCCACTGGATGTACAAAATGAAATACAGCTGCTATCAAGAGTCTTCTGTTATCCATGGCTGGTTTGTTTATTGGGTTTTTGGTTGAGAAATGCGTCGCTTGTCAAAATTGGGTAATCCGATTTCGGATGGCATTGTTTTCGTCTTTCCGGCCTTGCTCAATGCGTAAGAGGGTTTAAAAGTCTCAAGCAACTATGGCCTTCCTTGATATCTTTCAGGAACTGAATCTCGAATGGTAAGCCTGAGTAATTATTGTATTTGATGTTTGTTTTTTTTATTATATCGAGCACAGTTTAAGTTTTTTCACGTTTGTTGAAGTCAATGATCTGATCGAGAGCTCACAGTTTACAGAGGACAACATTCCTTTCCCACGCTTAGGCAAGTTTTTGTACTTTCCACGTTTGTTAAGATTTGAAACTTTTAAGAAATGATCTAATAAATGTTAGTCTCAGGTTTGATAGTATTTTAGAATTCTCTGTACAGAACTTTAAAGGGTCACGTTCTGGGTCACGTTTTTTCGCTATTCGAGCTTATTTTTTAGCCTGTCAACACTTTAATTGGTCACTTACCACGCGAATGTAACAAAAAAACGTTGAGCAGGCGTTTGTGGGGAGGGAAGAAATACGAGCTCCCCTAAAACGCCTGCGTGGGAGGCTAGTTTGACAGAATAGAAAAAAACGTTCCGAAGAATATTTAGTTATAAATTTGGCTGTAGAAAGAAAACTTTGAGTGATTTTCTTGCTTCGAGGAGTTCATCTTTGAAAAACAAAACAAACACCGGGAGGCCGGCTGAAAGTAAAACAAAATAAACTTAAGCTTAAGCTTTAAGCTTAAAGACTCAGGATTTTTAGAAACACTTTAATACTTGTCTTGGTGAATGAAAATTGTTGTCTCTGTAAATATTTTACCGAATTATATCTCTGTTGTTGATTGTTAGTAGTCTCTCTTGCAATTTTAATCGCTTGTCCGTGGTGTTTGTTTTCATCGTTCATGAACATCGCTTGCAGGAGTACTTAGAAATGTCGCGCTTATCAAACGCTTTATAAGATTACACATCGTTATGACTGGAACCATTAAATAACAAAAAGTAATGATAATAAATTCGTTATTATGTTGAAGCGTATCTCCATTAAAGTTCATTCAAACACTCGACCACACTGACAGCTCGCACTAAAAATGAGAACCGGCTGGCCGTATGGGTGATTTTGGAAATTTTTTGAACGGTTTCGCTAAAAGCCCACGATTGATCGTCCTGGACATTGAAAAATTGTGAAATGCCGTATTCTGTCCGAGGTCTGTATGATAAAAAGTACTGTTTCACCTCAGATGTGATGTATAAAAAGTATAAAAGGTTGGTTTACACACCCTCAGATTTTTTGGCAAGGATTTGTAAAGTAAACCTGTCGAACGCATAAAAATGCGGCCTGATTTGTTTTCCAAGAATTTGTTTTCGAGGCCTAATCTATTGTGATCAAGAGCAATTATGGCTCTTGAATGTGGTAGAAGATGTTTGCTATTTTTTGGGTGTACATATATTTAAGCTATCAACTCGATGTAAGATGTTTCACTCTAAAATAACTTATCCTTTCCCTCAAAAGTCACATGAATGTGCCCTTAAGTTAACTGATTTGTGGATTACAAGTTTATTGTTTAATTTAAAATATAAATTTATTAATGGGAGCTTCGCTTTTAGCCCTGGCTAAATCTATATATTAATAATAATATTAACGACAACAACAATAGTGTATCTACATAACCCTTTCTTACAATGTTCTCATAACAGA